CCCTTATTATATAATGTTTTCTTTTTCTTTAATAATTTCCTCCGTGAAAATTTGTAGACAATAAACTAGTCAAGTTTGGTGCTGGGTATAAATACATTTATCTTTTTCCTTGTAAAACAGCTGTATGATGTACTGAACTCAAGGTTAACAGTTGTTTTCTCTCAGGATGATTTCACTATCTAGTAGCATTCATGTGTAAGAACTCAGCTATCATTGATAGGTAGCCAGTCATCATTCACAGGTTAGCTCTTTTTCCCTATTTTAAAAATATTCTTCTGTTCTTTGGTTTTCTTCAGTTTCACTATGATAAATATAGGTGTAAATATAGGTTTCTTTAAATATACCTTGCCTGGGATTTACTAGGCTTCTTAACTGTAGAGAATGGTGAATTCCATCAGTTCTAGGAAATTTTCAGTATCTGTTTTGCACTTCTCTCTTCTGAATTTTATATTATAGTATTTTACAACTTGTCATGGCATATACCTTGACTACTTTTCCAAAAATATTTTTTACTTCTGTTTCTTTCTGTGGGAAACTCCAAGTAACCTCTTCAAATATCTTTCAGACCACCAGTTTTCTAATCTAATCACCTGTTTTGCCTAACCTTTGAATTTTTCATCACTGTGTTTTTCATTTTACATAGCTCTGCCTGGTCAATTTTGACAGTCTTTTGTTCCTTCAACATACTTATTAGGGAATAATGCATATTAAAAATGCTAATTTTTTCAGTATCTTAGAATTTCTATATCTACAGTGTTTACGGATCTGATTCTATAGTTTGTTCTTTCTATGAAGTTCTTAAGATGGCTTATTTGTGTGTCTCGTGAAAACCATCTTCCTTGGAACTGTATGAGAATTTTTTGAAAGCTGTTCATAAAGTGCAGAAAGAATCTGAGTTTCCTTCTGGCAGATCTCTGGAGGTACTGCCAGGATAAGACAATTTTAAATTAGATTTTTGGATGGGTTTTTAGAAGCTACACAGATAATATTAATGCTAACCCAAAGTCCAGGTAACGACTGGCCTATGGCTAGAAAATTCCAACATGGATTCTGTTCCTTTTTCTGAGCTTCCCCGAGCCAAAGCTATGCTAATCAAGTTCTCCCAATATCTCCTGCTATTCAGGTTAGTGTTTTTTTCATTTATCCAATAAGGTGGTCAAATTTTAAAGATTCCTAGTGATATGTAAATGTACCTTATGTGACTTTCCAACTGGCAGGATGCAGAATTTATCTTTTGTTTTCAGTTCATAGTCTGTCAAAATTGAAGCTCCAGGCCATAATTGAAAAGCAGTTCCCCCACCCTCCAGCACAATGCTGGCGTTGGCTTATTAGTTTGGATTTTGTGCTTTTTGTATCAGCCTCAAATAATTTCTGTAATTCAGTTATCAGATTATTTATCTATATAAAATATTTTCTTCATCTCTTTTAGTTGTTATAGTTCACTATATCTCTAGAAACCAAAGCATTTTTTAAATCACATTAATGTGCTTCTAGATACCAGTAATGTCTATTTCTCCTTTAGCTTCTAAATGCTAACCTGATTGACAGAGGTCCTGTTTTCTCCTTAAGGTGAAAATGTAAGAACATAAGGAATATCTTCCCCAAAATTATTATCCTTAGTAAAAGACAGAGTACCTTGGAAGTAACAAGGAACCTTGACTAAGGCAGGACAGCTGCTGAGAGAAGAGAATATATATATATATTTTTTTCTCTTTCTGCTGCCTTATCACAGAAAAGATTCTGAACAGCGTATCACTTAGATGTGCTTCTGGTGGCTCCCATCAATATAAATTCATGGCCTGATTAAAAGTTAAAGTAGAGCCATGTACTCCAAAATACATCCGCTTTCAGTCAGAGGAAGGAGAAAAAAAAATAAGGTTAAGGAAAAAATGCTCTTTAAAATGATATGCCATATTCTTATATTTATTCATTAATGCATTCATTGATATTTACCTAGCACTTACTACATTTGGGGCATTATTCTAGGTGCTGGAAATACAACAGTAAACAAAGACTACATGAATGATGATACATGAATGACCAAAAAAAAAGGTTTAAAAAAGTGTATATGATGGCTCTCTGAAAATAAGAAAATACTACATACATATCATTTGTTATTCTTGTGTACCACAATTATGACAGCTGCTTTTCCCTCCTCACAGGAGAAAATATGTCTTAATGGACTTGGAATTTTCAAAGCAATTTTTACTGGCAAAGTTTCTTGCTTCATAACATTTTCAAAATTCTCTTAATCTAAAATTCGACACTTCTCAACTCTCATTCAGTCACAAATACACAAGAAAAACTCTATAATTCACATTGGCCTTTCCAACAAATCAATTGATTTAGCCAGTATAGTGATCTAATTCAACTTCTATTTTCTCCACTCATAAATTTCAGGTCTCATACCCATACCCAGCCAAGGGCCAGAATGAAAAATTTAACAACAGCTACAGCATGGTTGTTGAGTAAGCACTCTGATACATTTCCACACTATAAACATTTAATGAGACTGGCTCCCAACAGAGTGTTTACAACATCAATTTACTTCATAGTATTATATTTGCAGGAGCAAAATAGAGCAAAGGTTATTTTGGGTCCTTTACCAATACAGCTTCCTGTAAATAATGAAAAGTGCAACCATTTAATTTACCAAATCATTAAAAAACGTTAAATGCTCAATAAATTCTGCTTTATCTAGCTCAGACAGCCACAGCAGCGATTTGTAACTTGGATATAAAAAATACAGAAAACTTAGACATTTTTATACTAGTTTGCACATCCGTATTTTTGATTGGAACTAAATTTCAAAGGTTGTTCAGACAGTTTAGAATCCTCAATAGGATCTCAGAGAAATATCTTTTGGACCCCCTCCCACCTCATGCAGAAGAAGTGAGTGTGCCTTTCCTGAGAAAGAGAACACTCTAGTGTCATGCTTATGCCGACTCCCATCAAAGTTACACACATACATACACGCACACACACAACACACACACACTTTCTCCTCCTCTCCAACCACTGCCATTTTGTGCCTGTAGCAGTCACTTTCAACTAAAGTGAGAAAAAAAGAAGAGGTCTCAGATGGAGGAAAAATTTGGAAATGTCTTCTGTAATCCTAAAATATAGAACACATTGTCTGAGATAAACTGGAGCTCTTATGGGAGCATTCTTTGACAGAACTTTGTTTAGTACTGTGAAAAATTTGCTATACAGGTTGAGTGTTGCTAATCTAAAAATCTGAAATTCAAAATGCTCCAAAATCCAATACTTTTTGAATGGCAATGTGATGGCACAATGGGAAAATTCAGTACCTAACTTCAAATCTTTTGTCAGTTAAATCCTTATAAGTAGGTCACAGTTAAAACAGTCAAAACTTCATTTCAGGCACTAAATTATTTAAAATGTTGTGTAAAACTACCTTTGGGCTATGTGTATTGGATGTATATGAAATATAAATGAATTTCATGTTTCACATCAATCCCATTCCCAAGATAACTCACTAGGTATATGCAAATATTCCAAAATCCAAAAAATTCCAAAATCCAAACCACTTCTGGTCCCAAGCATTTCAGATAAGGGATATACAACCTGTCTGACCCTATCCACCTACTCCAGCAAATTTTAACTTACTATACTTGACACTTCCCAAATACAGATGACAGATGGTCACCGACTTGACTTAACAATGGTTCAACTTGTAATTTTTTCTAGCTTTGTCATGGTGCAAAAATGACACATATTCAGTATCTATGTATAGTGTTGCAGGCCCCTAAAGGTCATACCCTTCCCAGGGTAGGGTAACCTGCATCCAGTGACTGAAAGAGACTTACAGGCCTGGCCATTTCTGCCTGACAAGGAACACTCTGGAAGGCAACGCTCTCACCAGAGCTCCCTGCTGATTGGTCTAGGCTGTGTGGGTCTAGCTCTCAGGTAGACTTCTTCCATCCAGTCCTGCTCCCTCCCTCTTTCCTTCCCAAATGTAATACCTTGTTTTCCAAATTTCATTCTCTGTGTGATTCTGGAAAACCCAGCCCACAACACTAGCCATGACTCCTTCCTTTCTCTCACGTCCCACACGCAATCTGTAAAAATTCAGTTGATGCTATTTACAAAATTTAGCACTGAGGTCCACTAACACCGCCCTAGTCAAAACTAAACCATGAAGTGGTTCATGTAAAGTGTACGAATGGAACCTGTGTTACTACAATAGCCTCTGGCCTGGTGTTTCAGTTCCTCCAATTGCTCTCCTTCAGTTGATGTTCCTTCACAAGTCTCAGCAGGTCACACCTTTGCTTACAACCTTCTAGTGTATTCCCATGTAACTTGGCGTAAAAGCCAAAGTCCTTAAAGGCATACACAGTCCTCATTGGCTGGTTCTCTCACGTTAGCTCCTGCTACTCATCACCTTGCTCTCTCCACCCAGACATCCTGGTTTTTATGTTGTCACTTAAACACGGGGCACATACCTTCAAGCCTTTGCTCTAGATCTTCAACTGCCTGATTCCTGAACTCTTTCAAGGCCTTGGCAATACCTCACCTTCTCAATGTAACATACTATACAAGTCAGTTCTCTACAATGCTTATTGGTTTTATTTTTTGTCTATAATAACCAGCTAAAATGTAAAAACTTGTCAATGGCAGTGATCAGATATGCCCCAAGCACATAAAACAGTAATACCAATAAGTATTTCAGGACCAAATAAATCTTATGCTCGTAAGTTGATCTACATAAAACAACCTCACCATTTCAATCTAATTAACAATTCCACTTCAGATTCATTGGTTTCCTTGGCAGAGATATACCAGAATAAGAGGTATACTAACAGAGTATTTTCCTGTTAATCAATTCTTTGAAAGACTCAAGGTGAAAGAGACTAATCTGGATTTTTTATTTTCTCATGCTCTAAACTCCAACATGTTGATCTTCTTCTGTTTTATTATTATTATTATTACTATTGTATTGGGACATCAAATCACACTTTAACTTTCTCCTGACTTACCTCCAGCTCATCAAGAGCACTTCCCAGGGTTGCTGCCTGAGGTTCTGGTAGGGCTGTCATATTCTGGATGCCTTGTGAAGCATTTGAAATTACATTGAGAGCATTCTGAATTTCTTCACAAACTGTGTCCTTGCTTGCTTTGAGGGAAGCAACATCAGAATTCTCCAAACAAGCTGAACAAATTGAATGCAAGAGGGGAGAGTTCTCCTTCAATGAGGCTCGAGCTCCTGCAATTTCATCCCTCTGGTTTGGAGATTTTAAGTCCTGAGAAGAAAAATGACAAGAGTGGCATCTTACAATGGGTTATGGAAGAAATACTTAAATAAAAAACTTCATTTTTTAGTAAGTGTAAATGAAAAGATAATAGACACCAAGAAGTCGGCTCTAAGTTATAATCAAGGGCATCTATTATTTCTACATTCCTTCAGATTCTGTTAAAAATTCTACAGTATAAAAGATGACACAGTTAACAAGTAAAGGTCCCAATAGTGCAGATGTGTAAAGATCTACTACTATTCAGTCAAATCTTCTGTCAGTTAAATCCTTATAAGTAGCTAAAATACTCTGGCATTGGAATTATTAAGTGTATTATAAGAGCTTGAATTACAAGGATGCTGATTACCTCTTTCCACAGATGTTGATAATTGCATTAACCTTTTCATTAAAATTAAACTAATTAAGAACAATTAAATGAAACCTCCCATCATTCAGCTATTTCTCTTTTGTTTTTCAGAAATACTAACAAATTAATCCTATATCATTTTTTCTTTGACATTTATTCAACAATTAGTTACTAAGCATTTAGCATATTCAGCCCTTGTGCTAGACTCCAGTGTACAGATGTGAAAAATCCTACAAAGACCTTGTTTTTCTTTCTTTTAGGGGGAAAGGACCTATAGATAAATAATAAACTATATAAACAAATACACAAGATGATTTCAGGTGACAATAAATAAAGAAAACACAAAAGTGAATATCATAGACACTGACTTGAAAGGAGAAACCTGCTTTAGGTTGAATGGTCAGAGAAGGTTTTCCTGCAGAGATGACAATTTGCAGTATATATAAAGGAACAGCATTATATTGGAGGGAAGAGAGGAAAGAGAATGTCCTATCTAATCGGCAGGTGATCAGAACTAGCTCAACACACAAGGAAAAAATCTGGCAAGGGCTTAATCAAGTGATGAGGGTTAACATCATCAGTAATATCACATGGATATCATGTACCCCTTGACATACTGTGACAAGAAAAGTATGCCATTTCTGTGGTATTCTCTATAGAAACTCATAACTCCAGTCTAAGCATGAAAAAAGAAACAAACAAATGAAATTGGTGAACTTCCTAAATAATATCTGGGCAGTATTCCTCAAGACCATTAACATCATGAAAAACAGGAGATTGATTGACAAACTGTCACAGAACAGAGAAGATTGGGCAGACATACCAAATGCAATGTGGTACTGAGGATTAGATCCTGGAACTGAAAAAGGGTTCATAAAAAATGGGTGAAACCCAAAAACCATTATTAATAGCTAATAGCAATTCAATGGTATCCATTTCTTCATAGTGGAAAATGTAAGATACAGTATTAACAATGGAGAAAACTGAAAAAAAAGATAAATGGGAACTCTCTGTACCTCCTTTGCAACTTTTCTGTAAATCCAAAATTATTCCTAAATTAAAACTTCAGTTAAAAAAAAAAAGCTAACTCAAGGGACATTTACAATAGTTTTTGTACTTCATATACAGTATCTCATGTAATCTTCATAAAAACTCATGAGATGTCATTATTCCCATTTTAAAACTCAGAAAACTAAGGTTTCAAAAACGAAGTTTCTTAGCCAAATGGCAGAACTAGATGGTGGCTTATTTCTTGTATTGTAACCCAAATCAGTATAACATATAGCTCTTATCCTAAAAAATATGTGATATTCTTCCCTACATAGGAAAAATTTCTTATTTGCTACACAGAATGAGGACTTGTATTTGTATAATATCATGTAGCTTACAAAGTGCTTCTATATAGTATCTTATTGATCATCACAATACTCTGAGGGAATGAGGCTGCTATTATTAGTCCCATTTTAACTAAACAGGTGTTTGGTGTAAAGAGATAGAAACTAGTAAAAGAATTGAGATCTAAATTTAAGTCTACTGATTGCAAACGTTATGCTTTGTTCACAAGGATCTGCTACTCTGGGAATTATATTGCCTGAGGTTAATAAATGCCTTGTGCTACTGTATTTTTAGTTCCTTCCCTTCTGAAAATAAAGGTTGCCTGCTACTTCACACAGACTTTGGAGAGATTAGCTTCATTACAAAATATAGGGAGGACAGTTAGAAGTAGCTATCAACCCACTGTTCATACTCACTAATTACCCAAGAAAAGACATTCTGTGGTTTGCTTGGTTTGCTATGACTTCCCCCTCTGTATATATGGTCTGGGTTTTAGTTTCAGCTCTGTCATTAGCCCTATGAGATGGGTAAGTCATATCCACGTTCAGTGTCTTTCTATCTGTAAAAATGGGATAATGATACTTCTGCCAACCTTCTCACAAGATTGAGTACATAGCACATCAGAAATGGAATATAAGTGGAAAATAGAACAAAAGTTATAGAAAGAATATGGAATTGATTTATTCCTTACATTTGTCAAACTGGATGTACTGTTTTTGTACTGTGATAATCTTACTGATTTTTGTATTTCCCACAATGTTACAAACTCCACCTGCAGTCATCAGTGTAACTTAGAGGATAAATCATTTAATATTTGGAAAGGATGTTTAGCTCCTCAGATGAATAATAATTAAAAGTATAAATATTCAGAAAGAGCTAAAGCAAATTCTCTAATATTATTGGATAATCACAACTTAATACATAATTTCCTCTGAAGTGACCTATACATTATGCTTCTTTATTTAGAATGACAGTGTCAAAATTTAGGTTGTTTCTGAAAGGTAAAAAACTTGAACATAGATTATAACCAAGAAGGCTAAAGTTAAAATTATTTCTTTTGCTCTGATGGTGGCAGTGTATAATCTGATGGTAAATTGTGGTAACTTTAATGCGTGGGGACTTTGAAATGTTAAAAATACAAATGTATTTTGACTTTGGAGCCTATGCTTTTTCATCTCTGCCCAAGGCAATTACAGAATCCATAATGAGCCTAAATAGCAAATCCTTTAAGCCTGCAAAAAAGGACTAGATCAGTGAGCATAACAAAAGTAACATTACAGCAGTGGACAGGAGAAAACGGGCAGGTTGCAGAGTTTATGTAAGGAAAATTTACAAGGCATGACCATTTCTCCCAAAGAATATCATGTATGATAAATTTAATGTAATAAATAGGCATATAGATGAAAGAGAAATTAGTGACTGTCACCTCCTAAACGTATGTGTGGTAGTGGTGTTTGTGGTTGTTTTAACTGATGATACTGCAGGTTCAAAGGTTCATAGGTTGTTTATTTATCCTAAAATTTTACACCAGGTCAATATAGGAATTAAATAGTAAAGTTAATCAGGGATTTCTTTGGATGGAGAAGTATAAAGAAATCAGCTCCTCAAGGATTGATACTTATTTAAAATCTTTTTTTAAATGCTCCAGAAGAAAGCTCACAGGAGATTTCCAAGTTAAGAAGACATTAAATGTTTCCAGCTGACGAAGAAACACACAGATGGGATTTAAAAAGACCTTACAAGTCTGTGCAAGTGGGTAGAGAAGTAACATGTGAGTTTTAACCCTGGCAAGAGAACAAAATATATTTAGGAATATTATTTTAAAAAATAAAAATGGAGGACTTTAAACTATCAGTTAATTAATTCAACCATTCGTTCAACCTCTACTATGTTGAGCCTCTCCTGTGCGGATCCTCAGCGTTCCATCAATGCAGTGTGCTAAATGTTGGAAGTGCAAAGATAAAGATCAGGAGTGAAGACAAATAAACACATTTATATTGGAACAAAAATAGAGCTACTGACAGCACAGAGGACAGTTTCTCAGCCTGAAAATTTATCAGAGAAGGTGAATCTTTTTTCCAGCTTTACTGAGGTATAATTAACAAAAAATGTATATATTCAAGGTGTACAACATGATGCTTTCATATACCTATACATATACATTGTGTAATGATTACTACACTCAAATTAATTAATATATCCAACCACACTGTTGCCCCTTGCCTTTATGTGTATGTGCTGTGAGAACACGTAAGATCTACTCTCTTAGCAAATTTCAGCTAAGCAATACAGTATTATTAACTAACTTCACCATGCTGTGAGTTAGGTCCCCAGAACTTATTCATCTTATAATTGAAAGTGTATACCCTTTGACCAACATGTCCCCATTTTTCTCACACACCAACCCCTGGCAACCATGGTAAAACTGCTTCTATGAGTTTGACTTGTTTACATTCCACATATAAATACCATCATACAATACTTATCTTTGTATGTCTGGCTTATTTGGCTTAGCAAAACGTCCTTCAGTTTCATCCAAGTTGTCATAAGTGGTGAGATTTCAGAGAAGGTGAATCTTAAACAGTTAAGTAGAAGTTATCCCTATGAATAAGGACCCACAGACCCTTTGAAGGAAGCAGACTGCTCCTGCAGGATCTGGGAGACACCCCAAATACTGTGAGTGCCCCAACTGCAGAAGTGGGAAAGGGAGAGCCTCCTTCTCTGAACACACGCTGCCACTGGAGAAACTGAAGGTCAGTTTGCAGGTGAATTTTCCAACCTTACCTAGGGCAGAGTCAATTCAGAGAGCCAAGCCAAGCAAAATACAAGGGTAGAGAAAGCAGCAAAAAGTCCCCTGGCACTTGCCAGGTCCCTGATCAGGCCATTCCTGCATGGCAACACAAGGATCCATTGGGAGGGCAGCCAAAGGAGTGGGGCCAGCGAGGTGGTGGCCAGGGAAGCACCACAGGGAGAAGGAAATTTCCAGCTGAACTTTGTAACCATTTAAACAAGGGGAGAAGCCCCCTGACCAGAACTTGAGGGAGAGTACAAATCCAGTGTGCAGACTCCACAGGCAGAAGAAGAACCAGGCCCTTTTCTTTTGAAGGTGGGAGGCAGGTAGCCTGGGGTAAGTTCTCAAGCCCGGCTTGCCCACCATCTGGAAACAGACTCAGGGCTGTTGAGGGGCACAGTGGGAGTGAGATCAGCCTTCAGTTTGCATAGGAGCTGGGTGAGACCTGTGACGGCCAGCTTTCCCCCAATTCCCTGACAACTGGGATGACTCAGCAGAGGCAGCCATAATCCTCTT